GAGTCCTTGTGAGTGAGGCGTTCCTCGGTTCCCCCTCTTCTGCCCGTGCGTTCTCTCGCGCCCGCCGCCCTTCCTTGTTCTCTCGCCTCGTCGTGTTTGTCGGAGCGGCCTCTCGGGCCCCCCGTGCTGCCACAGCGCAGCGTGCCGCACGCCAGTACGCGCCGGTCAGTACGGTTCCAGTTGGCGCCACTGTGCGACTTCTCTTCCGTCTAGCTCCGACTGGTGCCTGCGCCCCTGCTCCTGGGTCGCTCGCATCTTAATGGGGGGCATTTTGCCTCTTGCACGTGCATTTGCGTCGTCGGCCTACGTGCCGTCGTTGCCAATTATCTCGCCCTGCACCCCAGCCGAGCCCGTCCCGCTTCCTGGATCTGTCCTTGGAGCCGTCAATCAAAAAAGTATCTCCAACGGCGTGCTGGATTCGCAAATTTAAAATGTACCGCGCCCCGGACGTTGTGACCGCTCCCTGGGCATTTCCTTGGAGCCGCGACCAAAAAAGTATCTCCAACGGCCCATTCAGAAACGATGCCCAGGAGAGTAGAGGTGATCAGGGAAGTGCAGGAGCAAGAGAGGGGGCAGCTCTTAGGAGGAGGGAGAAAGAGAAGGAATAGGCAGAGGAGAAGAGGAGGAAGGCGATCAGAAGGCCAGAGGCCTCTTGGATGCCTCTCGGGGTAGCTTGGGATGTCTCTCGTGGGCTTCCTAGGAGGCCTCTTGGGGCGTCTTGGGGGTCGTTTGGGGGCCTCTTTGAGAGCCTCCTGGTTGGGGCTCTCTTGGGGCTCCCTCGCGAGCCCTAGAGGCCCTCTTGAGGCCATCTTGGAGGAGGTCGCTCAAAGAAGGTGTGAGCTTTAATTAGCATCGTCCCTGTGGAGCCCACAACGTCGCCTCTTGGAGCCTTCCTGGGGCGCTTTGGGGGCGCTTTTAGTCGCGCTTGGGGCCGTATTGGGCCCTCTTGGGCATCTCTGGGGGACCTGTTGGGCCATCTTGGATCCATCTTGACACCTCGGAAGGCCAGCAGAAACGAAAAGAAAAGAAAGCAAAAAGCAGTGATGTTCCGCAGGTGTTGGGAGGATGTGGGCATCTTGTGTGCTCTTTCGGGGGTGCTCCGAGGCCACTTGGAGCCCTGCTGGGGCGGTCGTGGAGCCTCCTGGACCACGCTGGAGGCTATCTTGAGCCATCTTGAGCTATCTCGGGCCATCTTGAAGGGCCGCTTGGGGGAGGCTATCTTGAGCCATCTTGAGCTGTCTCGGGCCATCTTGAAGAGCATCTTGGGCTCTCTAAAGCCCTCTTGGAGCCATCTTGGGTCATCTTGGATGCTCCCATCGGTCGCGGGGCGCCCCCCTTCCAGGTCCAGGGGACAGGGGAAGGGGTGGAGGTCAAGACATCCTCATAGTTAGCAAGCCGTCAAGCTCACTCCCACCCTTCCTCCCAACACTTTTTTGATCCGCGGATCGAGACCGCACCTCTTCCGGTCGAAGCTAAGCGGGCCGCGCGAAGCTTGAATTAGACCCTCCCTCCCAACACATAAGTGACACGGGAGCCTCAGCACGTTCAGCGGTCGTCTGTAGATGGACAGCTGCTGGGAACCAAAGCCGTCCCCGTGTGCGCGACGCCGGGGCGAGGCGCGTCACGCGTGCCACGCGCGCCACGCGCGCGCACGCCTGGTGCGCCAGATGCGCCACGCGCTCCACGTGCGCCAGGTGCGCCGCATGCTCCCGCCGCGGCGGGTGCGCCACGCTCGGGGCACGTGCAGAGTGTGTGTCAGGTGCGCCTGCGCACACGACAGCACATCTCGGGAAACAGGTCCCCGCCGGCGGACCCAGCCAAGGGCACGGCGGGCCGCCCACAAAAAGGGCACGGCGGGCGGCCGCAGCGGCAGACGGCAGGGCTCGAGTTAAACAGTGGTTTCCGTTGTCGTTTTGTTTTCGTCATCCCTAGTTCTGTCTTCGTTCCACATTTGCTGCAAAACGAGGCCAAAACGAAAACGGTCCACGAAATTGCCAAAGCACCGTTTAGCTCGAGCCCTGGCAGACGGGACGCCCACGGACATGTGTGTGTGTGTGTTTCGGCGGTCCCCCTCGCCTCCCGCGTGTGCGCGGCGACAGAGCCTGCTGGAACTGCCTGCCGAGGGGAGACTTCGAGGACGGGGGCGCACGAGGCCATACTAGTGCTTGATGTCCTCCTTGGAGGCGCGCGTCCGACCCAAACACATGTTGTAGCCATCTTGTGGTACACGGTTTCCCGAGCGGTGTGGCCAGAAAGCGCCCGCCACGACGCATACGCCATCAAGGTTTCTCGGTGCGCGCGTCGCCCCTGGGAGGGGGGCGACGCACACACAGTACTCGTATGTTGGGGTGGCGCCGAAGGGAGGGGAACATGAAGAGGTTGAAGCGCATTTCTGTATTTTCGGCGATAATGGGTATCATAAGGGGGGGAGAGGCCAGGGGGGATACTATGTAATGCCTCCCCCCCGCCGTCCGCACGGCGGCAATGCCCAGAGCGCACTGGGGGGGAGGGGCGTTACGTTATAGGGGGGGGAGGGGGGGGGTGCCGGGGGCTACAGTGCCAATTATGCCCCAAGCAATAAAGAAACACGCACATGAAGAAGTTGAAGAAACGGAGGAGGAGCGACGGAGGGCCCAGCGAGCGGCCAGCACGCAGACTCGGGGCGGACCGGCACGCTGCTCCCACGCCTCATCTGCTCCTGCTTCCACAGCTGGGAGCTCTTGCTCAGCGTGTCGCGGCGGCGGCCGCGGCGACACGCTATGCCTTGCAAGCGGATGGCGTGTCGCTCCACTCTCGGGGGGCGCGGGGCTGGGAGAAGCGCGAGAAATTGGCGCTTGGTGGCTGGGACGCGGGTAGCGCGTCGCGCCGAAGCGTGGTGGGCCAGACGCGGCGGAGCGACGCGCTAAGCAAAAAAGTTCCCCACCGTGCCAAGAAGCTAGAAACATACGTGGCTGGGTTCACATGAACATCTGGAGGCCACTTGCTGGATACACCTGTGGAGGACCACCGTGCCTGGCCGCACGAGGGCCGAGGGTTGGAAAAACATGTGGCCGCGTGTGCACCTGTATCGAGCACTCGCCCAGACCGGCCCCGTTATGTGAATCCAGCTTCCTGGTACCATCTTGCATCTTTTCAGGCGGGCAGGGGCAAGGGAAGGGGGAGAACGAGGATCAGACACTGCGTCGCGCACCCCCGAGTAGAGTAGGGCTGCCGTTCGGGAGTGCCGTCTTGACCCAGCTCGGAGCACGAAATGGGGAGCTCGACGATGACGAGCAGCGCAGGTGGGATAACATCGGTAAGCAAAAAAAGGGTCCAGGATGAAGGCAGGGGGACGAAGGAAAGGGAGGGTCAGACGCCGCGTCGGTGATCCAAGTCAGGGAAGGGGAGGCGAGCGGGGGGGCTGAGGCCGAGAAGATCAAGCGGCCAAGGGTGAAGCGGAGACGAAGCCAGCGCAGGAGGAGAAGGACGCTCGATGCGAACGAGCAGCACAGGAGGGAGAGAATCGATATCAGCCCCAAAAGAGGAAGGGAACGGGAAGCATGGAAAGGAGCAGACGTGAATGTCTTCTCAAATCCAATGTTTTGTTCCTCGGTTTCGGCAGGGTGGGGGCTGATTTCGGGTCCTGGGCCCTCGAAACTGGATCTGGGATATCAATTTGCACCCATGGAAGGGGATCGGTAAATCTCCTCTCCTCGGCGACGCATTATTTTTGCGACGCTGGTCCCCAAGCAACTCGACCCCTTCCCGTGGACTGGCTTTTCATCCCGGCTCGTTTTGTGACGACAGCCCGGCGCTATGTGGACGCTTGACTTTGACTCAAAATCCGCCGTCCTTTGTCTGATTTGCCAGCATCAGTGTGCCCGAAATGCACCCCAAACGACACGAAAACGTAGTGCCGAAATTTCTACCCTGGAAAATAGGGCGGGTATTTCCGCAAACGCATGGCGGAAACAGCGACGGCAAGATAAAGCGGAAATCGGCATCACAGGAGCGTGAAAAGTAGGGCCGGAATTTCCGCCCTGCTTCGGGAAGGGCAGTTGTCGTGCTGGGAGGAAGGGGCCGGGAAGATACAGGGTACGTCTGCGCAATAAGCACAGTCAACATTCGCGGTAGTACGGATGGTCTGCTCGTTACACCCATCCCCATCCTCCCAACCCGATCCGCCCAGCACGTAGTGGAGTGCCCCAAGGCTCCTGCAGCCCTGAGAGGTTCCAAGGTTCAAAGATTCTTGAACCGGTTTCCACTCCTCCTCCTCCTCCTCCTCCTCCTCCTCCTCCTCCTCCTCCTCCTCCTCCTCCTCCTCCTCCTCCTCCTCCTCCTCCTCTCCTCCTCCTCCTCCTCCTCCTCCTCCTCCTCCTCTCTCCTCCTCCTGCTCCTCCTCCTCCTCCTCCTCACCTCCTCCTGTTACTTCCTCCTCCTCCCTTCCTCCTCCTGGCGCCGCCAGGCCCTCCTGGGCGTTACTGGAGCGCGTCGCGTGGGCCTGGGACGGTGCCCCCGCCCTACAGGGCCCAAAAATTGGCGCAGAGGGCCCCCAGAAAAGGCCCCACGAGGGAGAAGGAGGAGGAGGAGGAGGAGGCAGGAGGAGGAGGAGGAGGAGGAGGAGGAGGAGGAGGAGCAGGAGGAGGAGGAGGAAGAGGAGGAGGAGGAGGAGGAGGAGGCCCAAGAAGTCTCCGAAACGGCCGAAGAGCTTCCCACGATGCCCAAGACGGCCCCAAGACGGTCCAGGAGGCCTCCAGGACCCCCCCCAGAGAGGCCTCCAGGAGGCCTCCCGGAGGGGGCTCCCAAGAGGCAGAATTCATGGTTTTCCCCTTGGCTTTTGCTAGATCCGTCCTTCCGATACTTGCGAAATCGCCTCGACTAACACAGCGGATCCGGGGCCATCGGGGGGAGGACCTCGCGGGGGCCTCCGGAGGGGCAGAGGTCAGGTCCCGGGGCGGCCGCGGGCCCCGCCACGGGGACGGCGGGGTGGAGGACCTCGGGTTCGCAGCTCGCCCTCGCCCTCCCTCGACGGCGAGCGAGGGGGGGGGGAGGAAAGCGAGAAGGAGCAGGCCTTCTCAGAAGGCGGCGGGACTTCTCAAAGCCCTCGCGCCCTCTGAGAGGGCCTCTGCGTCTTCGGGGGAGGCCTGCAGAGCTTCTCAGGAAGGCCGGGGGACTGCTGGGCCCGCTGGGGAGGCCCGCCCCTTCTCGCTTCCCCCCCCCAGGCCCGCCGCCGGCCCCTGGGACCTCCGCGCGTCGCGGCAACAGAACAGAGCTGGCACGGCTGTTCGCGAGGTTTTGGGCGCCCCGAGGGGCCGCTTCGGCGCCCAGCGAGCATCACAACAACGGAGGAGGAGGAGGAGGAGGAGGAGGAGGAGGAGAAGGAGGAGGAGGAGGAGAAGGAGGAGGAGGAGGAGGAGGAGGAGGAGGAGGAGGAGAAGGAGGAGGAGGAGGAGAAGTAGGAGGGGCCCACTGCAAAACATCCGACCCTGGGGGAATGCGTCGAGAGCTCCCAGAGCCCCCGTCGCGAACGCCTCTCGACCGTGCAGCCGATACACACGACAACAGATCCTGCTGTGAGATATCTAGGGGCTCACTCGTCGTCGATCCTTGAGCTTCCCAGAGTTCCTGCTGGAGAAGGGACCGACCATCCTGGCAGCCATGTAGGCCTACAACGAAAAATTCTTAGAGCCCTAAAATGTTCTAAGAAGAAAACCAATGTTCTCATAATATAAGCCCGATGCGTTAAAACAAGACAGCCCCGCCAGAACTGTTCTAAGAACCTTTCGTGCAAACCACAAAAGATTATTCTAACATTCTTCGGTGGGCCTAGAGGCAAGCCAGGACGCTTCGCCACTTCCTGATCCAGGGTCCCCAGGGCAGTCGAAAAGCTCAGAAGTCTTCGTGGGGTACTTGCTGGCAGGCTGGTTTCTGATTTGGCGCGCCTGCCATACAGTCGAGGTTGACTAGAGAGGACGCGCGAGAGGACACGAGACCCTTCCAAGGGCCACGCTGCCCCAGGAATTGCAGAGGACATCGGACGCGAAGCACAGGGCACAAGGCCACCCTTGATCTGGAAGGGTCGACTTAGAATTAGGTCGGGCATGTCCTCCTACAGGCGGATTTCTGATGAAAAAAAACCAAACCCAAAAACTCATCAAAAATTGTCACAACAATAAAAAATCGTCCCGAGACTATTTTTCTACTATTTTTGAAATTTCCTCCTGTAGCGGGACATGCCCGACTTAAACTGAGAAGCTCAACAATACTCTCACCTCAGGGGTCGGTCTGACGTTGACTGCACTGGGGCCCTCCCGAGGCGGCCTGGCAGGACGGGCGACGGCCGAGCCTTGATCTTGGAGATCTTCAGCATCCCGCGCGCCCACGGGCGCTTTATTCTCAGGAGGTCCACCTCGGCGCCCGGCATTTGAAGCCGTTGTGTTTCAAGGTATTCGCGATAACGCCTGTAACGGGCCCCGCACCCCCCCCACCTTCCCCCCGTCTGGTCGCGTCACGCTTCGCACCGGCGCCGTCTGGGAATGAGCCATTCCTGTAACATTCTGCGACAACACCGGCGCGAATCGTGACGTGACCAGCCCTCTCCTCCCCCGCCTACCCCGTCCCGGTCACGGCCGCCATCGCCAGGGGATAAGGAACTGTCTCTTTTGGAATGCATTCCCCAAAGAGTGCTTGCACTGGAGTGTTCTTACTTTTAGTCTAAAAAGAACTGGGCCTGTGTGTCGGTCTGGCGGCTCCGTGCCGGCCGTCGCCGCACAGTCGCCGCCTCGTCGCCGCCCGTCGCCTGGCCTTGTATCTGTCCGCCGGCCGTCGCCGCCCCATCGCCGCCCCGTCGCAGTCTCGTCGCCGCCCGTCGCCTGAGATTGTGTGTCGGTCTGGCGGCTCCGTGCCGGCTGTCGCCACCCCGTCGCCGCCTCGTCGCCGCCCGTCGCCGTTGCTTCGCCGTCGCCGTTGCGTTGCGTTGCTTTGTGTTGCATTACTTTGCGTTGCTCGTCATTGATCTGCATTGCTTTGTATTAATTTGCATTGCGCAGCGCAACATTGCGTTGCCTGGCCTTGCTTTGCATTGCTGTGCGTTGCATTGGTTGGCACTGCGTTGAGTTGCATTGTTTTTAAGTGCTTCGCATTGCTACACCGTGCTTATCGTTGCCCTGCGTTGTCATTGCATTGCTTTGCCTTGTTCTTCGTTGCGTTACATTGCTTTGCATTGCAAAGCGAAGCATTGCATTGCTTAGCCTTGCTTTGCAATGCTTTGCGCTGCATTGCTTTACGTTGCTTTTCACTGCTTCGCATTGCCACGCCGTGCTTAGCATTGCTCTACATTGTGTTGCATCGCAGTGCGTGATTAGCATTGCTTTGCTTTGCAGTCCCTCCCTCCTCCTCCCTCCTGCTTTGCGCTGCTTGAACTTATTTGCATGATTATCGTGGCTTCGCGCTGCTTGTCGTTGCTTCGCATCTCACTGCATTGCTTTAGATTGTGTTGCATGGCTTTGCATTGCTTTGCATTGATGTGGGTTGCTCTGCATCGCAGCGCTTGTGTTTGAATTGCTTTGCGTAGAGTTTTACAACATGGCACAAAGGGGAGGGGGAGGGAGGGCGAGGAGGAGGATGAGGAGGAAGCGGGCGAGGAGGAGAATGATACGATGTGCGGTTTTCTGGTGATGGCCCTTCGCGCCACAGCGCGTGCGTACACGACAGTACGCCTAGCAGCAGTTCGACTCAGCTCAGGAGCTATTCAGTGACCACCGCAGCGCACAACAACCACCTGGATACTGCTACGGCGTGCTACGCATTGCTCTGCAATGCTTTGCATTGCCGCGCAGTGCTACGCATTGCTCTGCATTGCTACGCCGTGCGTAGGGTTGCTTTGCTTTACGCTCACCCCTCCTCCTTCTGCCTTTGCGTTGCTGCGCATTGCTTTGCATTGTTCACGCGGCTTTGCGCTGCTCTGCGTTGCTTTTTGCGCGGTGCTGCGTGGCTTTCACTGCTTTGCGCTGATTTGAATTGCGCTGCCCTGCTGCTCACGGCTTGTTAATTAAGACGTGTATATATATATATATATATATATATATATATGTGTGTGTGCACGTAGGTAAACCTAGCAGTGTCCTCATGTGTCTTCACTCACGGGTTCTAACCTCTCTTCCACGGAACTGGACGTGCGGGCCGCTCCGGCCGTCGTGCCGCCGCCGCCGCCGCCTCGTCGCCGCCCGTCGCCTGGGCCTGCGGGCCGCTCTGGCCGCCACGTCGCCGCCGTCGCCGCCTCGGCGCCGCCCGCCGCCTCGTCGCCGCCAGCGTTGCATTGCGTTTCGCACTGCTTTGCGTTCATTTGCATTGCTTCGCACTACTTTGCACTGCTTCGCATTGCGTTCCTGACTGTCCCTTGCTTTGCGGTGCGTTCGATTGCTTGGTATGCTGTGCAATTGCTTGGCATTGCTCAGCATTGCGTTGCATTGCGTTGCAGTGCTTGGCACTGCTTTGCATTGCTTTGCCCTGATTTGCTTCGCAGCAAGTTGCTTTACACTGCTTTGCATTGCGTCGCATTGCGTGTCAGTCGAATTGCATTGCATCGGTTTGTCCTACATTGATGACACCACTTGAATTGCACCACCTAGATTGCACCACCTTGACTGCACCACCTAGATTGCACCGCATATGTTGAAGGGCATCACTGTTTGGGGTCCACGCTGGCGAATATGCGTACATATACGTATAAAAAATCGAAAACATCCCACCAAGCCCAAGATCTCGTCACTGTATGCTGGGACGGCCTCGACAACCGTCCAGGAAATGATGCCAAGCATCCCGACGCTCGGGGAAGCTCTTGCGGACCTTCGGGCAGCCTCCGCATGGCGCTGCCACTCGCTCTCTGCTGCTGGCTTCAGCGGAACTTCCACGAGTCTCTGCAAGCTATGGGGGGCTGGCCATACTTTCCCCTAGGAATGGCGAGGAGAAGTCTCCGCGCTTCGTCGCTGACTTTCCCACATGGCAAGAACTCGACCGCTCGAACATCTCAGCGTTCAAAACAGCGCTGCGCTGTTCGCCACAGCGCAAGCGATCTGGAGGTGGGTCTAGAGGTGGGTGGGGGCGAAGGGAACATGCCTGATCGCATGCCGAGCTCCACGCATGGCTTGGCACCACGAACGACCTGATGCTGCTGCTCGATGCGCCCTAGAGGCGGAGTGCGAAACACATCACAAGGCTGGCAGCCCGCTGACCTGCAGTCCTCCTCGGGGCCGCGCCTGCTGCAGCTCGGAGAAAGAGACAGAGAGACAGAGAGACAGAGAGACAGAGAGACAGAGAGACAGAGAGACAGAGAGGGGGCAAAGGGAAAGGGAGAGAAAGAGAGAGACAGAGAGAGAGAGATAGAAAAAAAAAGACCGAGAGACAGAGAGAGAGGCAAAGAGGCCGAGCAAAAGAAGCACCATCATGCCACAGTGAGCCGCCCTGCCCGGGCATGCAAGCCCACGCCGGGCTAAATGAACTCCCCAAGTAATGCTTGCACTTTTAGGCTCCTGCGCCTGCGCATGTCCGAAACAGCTGGTGCGCCCTCCCCCTTTCCTCCCCCTCCATGTTTAATTCAAGCTTCGCGCGGCCCGCTTAGCTTCGACCGCCGGAAGAGGTGCGCTCGACCCGCGAATCAAAAATGTCCGAAACAGCTGGACCTGCTTGCTTCGCCTGCCGGGCGCCCGCGAGGGCCCCTGTGCGTGGCGACGGGCTGGTTGGGTCCTCGCCCGGTTGGGCGCCTGGCGAGCGCCTCGTGGGCGCTCTCCGTGCGCGGTGGCCGGGCTGGCTGCGGGCGGTCCCCTCGTGGGCGCGGACGCCCCGAAAGAGCTCGGCGGATCGGCCTGTGTTTTCCACCACCACCGCCAGGAGTTGGAGGGGGAGGAGGAGGAGGAGGAGGAGGAGGAGGAGGAGGAGGAGGAGAGAGGAGGAGGAGGAGGACGAAGAGGAGGAGGGAGAGGAGGAGGAGGAGGAGGAGGAGAGAAGAGGAGGAGGAGAGGAGGAAGAGAGGAGGAGGAGGAGAAGCCCCTCCCCCTCCAACTTATGGTGGTGGTGGTGGTGGACAACAGGCCCAGCATCGGCAGCACGAGAGGGCGCCCACGAGGCGCCCACAAGGCGGGCACCGCGCGAAGGCATGGAACATCCGCGCGGGCTCCTCCTCCTCCTCCTCCTCCTCCTCCTCCTCCTCCTCCTCCTCCTCCTCCTCCTCCTCCTCCTCCTCCTCCCCTCCCCCTCCCCCCCGCTCCTTATCCTCCTCTCTTCTCCTCCTCCTCCTCCTCCTCCTCCTCCTCCTCCTCCTCCTCTTCCTCCTCCTCCTCCTCCTCCTCCTTCTCCTCCTCCTCGTCCTTCTCCTCCTCAAGTACCTACGAAAGAAAAAGGAGACCCTAGTGCAAGCACTGCTCGGACTGATCGGGGCAAGCCGTGAAAACGAAACCGAACACCAGGAGATCGCATCAGCGTCATGGCCCGCACTCACCGCGGGGCAGCGCACGGCTCCCGACTACGGCGTCCGTGTGGAGTCCATGGGCGCTAGTGCCAACTACCCTTTCCAGCCACCCGCCCGCCCTACTTTGACCCCTCGTGATAACTGTCTCCTCTTGCCTCTGTCCGACCGCAGATAGCACAGGCTGCCAAGGTCGGCGGCGAGCGCAGGGGGGAAGCGAGAAGGGGCGAGCCTTATCAGAAGGCTTGAAGTCCCCCAGCCTCCTGAGAAGTTCTCTTTCCCTGCCCCAGAGACACAGAAAATGTCTGAGAAGGGTGAAGGCCTCTGATGCGTCCCGCCGCCTTCTGAGAAGGCCTTCTCCTTCTCACTTCCCCCCCTCGCTTGCCGCCGACAGGGAGAAGTAGAGGGGACGAGAGAGAACGTGCACGGCTCCAGGCCGCTTGCCACGCAGACGAAGCACGCAAACTCTGGGGGTCATGCCTGCGGCCCGGGTGCACGCAAACTCTGCGTGCCTTGCGGCTTGGAGCTGGAATAACACATGACACACATGCACAAGATCTACGCGCTAGTTCCAGGCGACACGCAGATCCTGCACGGGTGCCTCGAAGGGATCTCTGGAGGGCTATCCGAAGAGTTCTTGGCGGGCAGCGGCACTGGAAGGAAGCATGACACGCAACGCCTCGGATGATGTGTGGCGCACCTGCGTGACGCGCAGATTCTTCGTGTCACGCGGACTGCAGCCTCGTGCGTACTGGTCTCCAGAGGCTGGGAATCTGCCAATTGGGTTACTGCATGTCACGCGCATTGGGGTCGGCGCGATGCGCATGTTCACTGCGGCTGCTGGCTGGCCGTAGCACGTCTGCTTGCCATCGGCTGTGATTGTGATCGGCCGATCCCGTGGCGAAGCAAAGTCGATCACGCGAGTGCCGATCAAGTCATCACCCAAACGCTGTGATCAATGATCGCGGCCGCGTGACCCACAGACATTCAGAGTGGAAGCGTTTGTATCTGCAGTGCTCCCTGCTACCATCACTTCCTCCTCCTCCTCCTCGTCCTCCTCCTCCTCCTCCCCCCCCTTACATTCCTCATTTACCTTCCACCCCTCCTGCTTGACATAACCCCGCCGCGAAAACTCTGCATGGGCGCGCCTGACTGTGGACCACATCCGTCTGGATGGGTATCGCGATTCGATTGGGCAGTATCATCACGTTGGAGAGTACGCTGTAGACCTTGTCGTGGAACAGCCTGTGCCAGTGTGCGTAGTGAAATCAAGTAGGTCGCTTGCACAACGCTAGCTGGAAACGCCTGAACTGAAATGCCCAGGAAACTTCACTGCTGGTACTTGGGTGGCGCCAGTGGTGTTCAATTTGAGCGGTGACCGCAAACGAATCTTCCCAGATCTTCCCAAAACAGTGCTTGCACTGAAGGGGTCCTGGCGGAGATTCCCCAATCAGCGCTTGCACTAAAGGAGTCCTAGCGGAGGTTGAAAAATTTGGCAAAAGTTCTTGGCCGATTTCGGTGGGCGGCTGGGTTCCCGGGTTCCCGTCTCCGGGTTCCCTGGTTCCCGATGCTAGCTCTGGGCCCGATTTCGGTTGGCGGCGGGGTTCCTGGGGTTCCAGTTTTTGGTTCCCTGGTTCCCAGGTTCCCAGTCGATCCCTCAATCAATTTCACTATCGATCTCATCATCCATCTCATTCAATCGATCCCACTATCGATCTCACTAATGATCTCACTCTCGATCTCACGATCGACCTCACAATCGATCTCATTGTCGATCTCACTATTGATGTCACAATCGATCTCACCATCGATCTCACGATCGATCTCACGATCGATATCACGATCGCTTTCACGATCGGTCTCACTATCGATGTCATCATCGATGACACTATCGATCTCACTATTGATGTCACTCAATCGATCTCAATAGCGATATCACTATTGAGCTCCCTATCGATCTCATGTTCGATCTCACTACCGATCTTACTACCAATATCACTCAATCGATCTCACTATCGTTCTCACTGTTGAACACACGATCGATCTCACGATCGATTTCACTATCGATCCTATGCAGCGACTTCACTATCGATCTTGCCGTTGATCTTACTATCGATCTCACTATCGATCTCACTCAACCGACATCACTAACAATCCCACTATCGATTTCACTGTAGTTCTCACGATCGATCATGATATCGATCTCACTCAATGGGGATCCCAATATCGCTCACACTATCGATCTCACATTCGCTAGCATAACATAGCATGACATATAGCATATAGCATATAGCATAGAACAAGACACCCCCGCGCCACGGGACACCACGGGACACTACAGGACACTACGGGACATCATCGGGACAACATCGCAACACCATCGGGACACCATCGGGACACCACCGGGACACCAACGGGACACCAACGGGTCACCACAAGGCCGCTGCTGGCAATTATGGGGGCCAGCAACGGATATTTCGGCTTCGCCCTGGCAACGGCAGATTCATTCCTCTCGGCCGCCCACGCAGCTTCGCCTCGCCCGCACGCGCGACACGAGCGTGAATCCGAAACCGATCTCCCGGTGGGGGGGGGGTCTCCGTTTCACTGCGATCTCACCCCCCAACCTCCGATATGTATAGATATGTCTGTGTAAATATAAGGATATAGAGAGAGGGAGAGGGAGAGAGAGAGAGAGAGCGAGAGAGAACCAAACAACTATGATACAACAAAACGCGAGAGGCGGAGTATACAGAGAGAGCGAGATAAGGAGAAAGTGAATGTATGTCTGTCTGTCTGTGTGTCTGTCTTTCTGTCTGCCTGCCTGCCTGTCTGTCTGTCTGTCTGTCTGTTTGTCATCTCTGTCTCTCTGTCTCTCTGTCTGTCTCTCCGTCTCTGTCTGTATCTATACCTATATATATGTACATACTGCCTGTCTGTCTGTCTGTCTGCCTGTCTGTCTGTCTGTCTGTCTGTCTGTCTGTCTGTCTGCTTGTCTGTCTGTCTGTCTGCCTGTCTCTGTCTTCGGTCTGTCTGTTTGTCTGTCTCTGTTTCTGTCTGTCTGTCTGTCTGTCTGCCTGCCTGCCTGCCTGCCTGCCTGTCTGTCTGCCTGTCTGTCTGTCTGCCTGTCTGTCTGTGTCTGTCTGTCTGTGCGTATATGTTCATAAGCATACATATATGTACATATGCAAATACAGGTGCGTGTGTATTTTTACGTAGATATACTTCCCCAAGGGGACACCCGAGAGCCTCGGTGGTCCCGAGCACGTCCCACCGCCAGACAAACCGCCCAGCAGCCTCCCAAAGTCTTACAGCTCCACAAGAAACAGTAGGCTCCCAACCACCCCAGACGCTCACCGCACGCCCTCATACCCCCCCCCAAAAAAAAATACCCTTCCTTTCACAACCTCTTCGACGACGTCGTCATCATTATCATCATCTGGCCCTGGCGACCCCTGTCACCCGAACCGAAGACCCCGTCACTTGCCCCCCCCATCCAGCCCACGCCCCCAACTGGCTCCAGAACCCTCCACCTTCCCCGTGCCCGTCGGCACCGCCACTGCTTCATCATTACTGTATTTCTATGTCTCCTTCACAACGTCACGATGATTACCGCTCTCATCATCCGTGGCTGCGGGCCCAAAACGGCCGAAACACCCCCGAGAGTGGCTCCAGAAGGCCTTCGACCACCTCAAGATGACCGACGACGGCGACGACGACAACGTCGTCGTCGCCGTCGTCGAACCGCGCACACCTCTTCCACCACCCCACGTGCTTTGCAGTTTCTCGCAGCCCCCTTTGCCTCCATACGTAGCTGTGCTTCGGCCCAACACGCCCGTTTGTCTTCCACCCCCCTCGCCTCGCACACAGTGCACTATACCAAGATTTAAAGCGAAGCGCAGCGAGCTTGTAGCATGAGTATGCTTTGGGGTGAGGGGGGGAACTCGGCGCCTCCGGTTCGCACAGGGGGGGCCCAGCGGGCCTCCGCGCTCCAAAAGGGCCCTCCAGGGGGCCCAGAGGGCAGCAAACGCCCTCAAGGCGGCCAGAAAGCAACCACAGCGCTCCCAGCCCACCGACCATTGCTTCGAAACGGCTCACGTAGCCTCCACGACGCCCCAAGAGAGCTTCCAGCTGATCCCCGAGAGAGGCTCCAGGGGCGAAAATCATTCATGTCCCCACGGTTTTTCAAAGATTTTCGTGCGGTCGCCTGCTCCGCGGAGACGGCGCAAGAAGCGCCCAAGAGGGTCCCAAGACACCCGAATAGGGCACAAAGGCATCCAGGAGGCGCCCCAAATCGCCCCAGAGGGCGACAGGCAGCTCCCCAAATGAGCTCGGACACGTTACAGTAGCCTTCAACGGGGCCCACGGGGCTCCAAAGCGGCCCCAGCACGCCCATCATTGCTCCGATGCAGGCGGCTCTCCAAATGAGCCTGCCCAGTTCCTCAGAGGAGAAGTAGAAACCCGCGAGTGCAAGCACTGTTTGGGGAATCTTGGGGCACAGTTGTAGATCTTAGAGGGCCCTGCGGAGCCCTAGCGCTCCTGTGGGTCACTGCGGCCATCGGGGGGTAAGCGATCCCACGGGCGCCTGCTTGCAAGCCAATGTCTTGTTCGACGTGCCTGCTGTACTTCGGTGGATGCCCTGTGACTTTCCCTCATCAGGAATTCCAAATTCACGACAGCAGCGCGCGCCCTGCGCCATTCGCCGTGGCCCCGGGCGCTTGTTGAACATGTCGAGGAACTCGAGCGACCCGCTCCAGGTCACGTCGAACTCCGGCGCCTCGGCTCTGGACGCCAGCAAGACAAAACGGGGGCACGTGGATGTAAAGACGGCGCGCCCGGCTGGGAAGAAGAGGGACACTGTAGGCACATACAATAAGAAGCCTTGCTAGAAGAAATCTTGCGGCACATCTTTCGTCGATCTTCGGATGTTCCACGGTGCCCGAGAGCTTCTGTGGGTGCCCGGGCCATCACGGAATAAGAAATTTCTGTGGGGCACCTGCTGACAGGCGGATTTCTTATTTGATGCGCCTACAGCGGAGGCGTTCGTTAAGGGATGTACGCAGGAAGCTCCAGATCCTGGAGGATTCCTTATCTGATGAGGGCGGTGGTGATATCCGTGGCCGAGCCAACCAGAGTTCCACCGGCTTCCAGACCCTGGGATCCTCATCCAATGGTTCCTTATCCCGTGCCCTCATCGTATGTGATGCGCCTTCTGTACAGTCGAAAGGTTTACCAGATCGGACCGTGGACCAGGAACGAAGACATAGGTCGGGCATGCTGCACCCTCAATGCAGTAAGAGCTCGACCACAAGAAACGTTTCACGAGAAACCCAACCCTGAGATCCCAGGACGTCCACTGATTTGGTGTGGGAGCGTCGCGCTTTCCATAGCGAAACTATCGAAACCCAAGAAATCCAGGGCACCCTGGAGGCAGGCAGGGTGTTTCTTGGCGTGGGGTTCCGCTGTACTGGTTCTTGTAATCGCCCCCCGCGCCCCCAGTCTGGCACTGGCGTGCCGATCTGTCGACCGGCCGAGACCTCTGCGCCCCGCTGGCGATGCCGAGCAGCCTTGCATCGCAGGCGGGGGAGGGGGGGGCAAGGGGAGGAGGAGTATGAGGAGGAGGGGGCGGAAATGGTGGAGTAGGAGAAGGAGAAGGAGAAGGAGAAGGAGAAGGAGAAGGAGAAGGAGAAGGAGAAGAAGAAGAAGAAGGAGAAAGAGAAGAAGGAGGAGGAGGAGGAGGAGGAGGCACCTTCAGCCTTCGCCTCCCGGGTCGTGAGGGAAGGTGCAGGATTCTGCCCATCGGCCGCACTGCCCAAAGGGGGATCTCGGAGCCCCCCGAGGCGAGGAGGACCGCCGCGGAAGGGGGGGGACAGACGAGGGCGGCCACTTCTGTGGCGTGGGCTGAGATGCTGATATTGAAAGGGGCTGCGGGGGCAGGCGAGAGCGGCCAACTCCGCGGCATAGGCTGCTCCTCCTCCTCCTCCTCCTCCTCCTCCTCCTCCTCCTCATCCTCCTCCTCCTCCTGCTCCCGCTCCTATTCACCCCTTCTTTCTCCTGCTCCTCCCCCCCCCGACGCTCCCTTCGCGGCGACCAGGCCCCGCGGCCCCGCGGCCCCCGCTGCCTTGTCCATCCAGACCCCGACGCCGCCCACGAAGGGCGGCTTCTTCAGGCATTCGAGCAGAGATATGTGCAGCTGCATGCCTCGGCGGCCCCGGCCGGCTCCTCCATCCCTCCTCCCTGCCTCTCCCTCCTGCTCCCTCCTTCCTCCTCCTCCCTCCTCCCTGCCCATCCCTCCTTTCCCTCCTACTCCTCCTCCTCCTCCTCCCCCTCCTCCTCCTTCTCCTCCTCATGGAGGGCGGGCCCCGTAGCTCTCGCCTTGGCGCCATACACAGTCGCTCGACACAGCTCCAGGAACTTCGCGTGTTGAGGGCTGGCCGTTTTCAAAATGTGGCTCTCGCCTTACCGCCGCACGCATTCGTTTTTTATACAAAGAGAGAAGTTGCAAGAGCTTCACGGATGGAGGACGAGCCGTTTCTTGCCCTAGCGCCGTGCACAATCGTTTCAAAAGACAGCAAGAGCTTCACGGATGGAGGGCGGTACCTTCTCAAGATGTGGGTGTCGCCTTGACGCGGGGCACATTCGTATTCGTAGTGTAGAATCACAAAAGTTTCGCTGATTCACATTCTTGACGTCCCAGAAAAGGTGCTTTTGAACGATTCAAGACTGTCAGGGCGCAACAGTTACGTTGATTCGCGGTGTTCAAGTCCCTAGAACGGTGTTTTGTGTAAGGATTAGGATCGTCGAGACGCAACAGCCAGGTTAACTCGTGCCGTTGAAGCCCTGAGAATGGCGTTTTGGCACGCTCCATGATTTTCACACGAGTGTCCCCCAAACGGGACACCTCCCTCAGTAAAACTGAATAGTTGTAGGTGCCTGCGAAGAGGGAACTTGAAGGGAGGAAGGATTCCAACATCGTTGATGAGCCTTGGGTTTACACTGGTCCTCCTCCTCCTCCTCCTCCTCCTCCTCCTCCTCCTCCTCCTCCTCCTCCTCCTCCTCCTCCTCCTCCTCCTCCTCCTCCTCCTCCTCCTAGTTTTCCTCCTCCTCATCCCCCTCCTCTTCCATTCCTTCTCCTTGTAGATAACTCCTCCCTGCCGCACCCCGAGGCCATTTTTGAGGGCGGGCTGGGCGTTTCGCCTGGGACTTCCTCACCACTTACGACTCTGAAGCTTAAAAAGTGACAACAGCTTCACAGATGGAGGGCGGGTCGTTTTCAAAATGTGGCTCTCGCCTTAGCGCTGCGCACATTCGCTTTAAAAATGTGCAAAATCTCACGGATTGAGGGCGGGTCGTTTTCAAAATGTGGCTCTCGCCTTAGCGCCGCGCACATTCATGTTAAACATTTGCAAGGACTTCACGGATTGAGGGCGGTTCCTTTTCAAAATGTGGCTCTCGCCTTAGCGCCGCGCACATTCGTTTTCAAACTTTGCAAAAGCTTCACGGATTGAGGGCGGTTCCTTGTCAAAATGTGGCTCTCACTTAAGCGCCGCGCACATTCGTCAAAATTTGTCAGAACTTCACGGACAGAGGGCGGCTCCATTTCAACATGTGGTTCTCGCCTAAGCGCCGCGCACATTCCTTTTCAAAATTTGCAAGAGCTTCACGGATTTCCATGATCAGCGTACCAGAAATGGTGTTTTGGAAAGATTCTGGACTATGTGGGTGGAACAATTATGTTGATTCGCGGTGTTGAAACCCGATTCCGGATCGTCAAGACACAGCATTCAGGTGGATACGTGGCGTTGCAATCCAGAGATCAATATCTCGGCATGCTTCAGGATCTTCAAACGGTTGTCTTCCAACGAGGCAGTTCCCTCAATGGAAATGAACCGTTGTGGGGGCATATGAAGAGGGAGCTTGGAGGGAGGGATGATTCCAACATCGTTGATGACTCTTGGTTTTGCACTGGTCCTCCTCCTCCTCCTCCTCCTCCTTCTCCTCCTCCTCCTCCTCCTCCTTCTCCTCCTCATTTCCTTCCTTCCTTCCTTCCCTTCCTTCCTTCCTTCCTTCCTTCCTTCCTTCTTCCTCCTCCCTCCTTCTTCCCTCAGGCGCCAGCGGGCACGGCACGAGCATCGGCTCCCCGCCAGCCAGCGCCACTGGCGCATCCCGCGCGCCGCCTCCCCCGCTCCTCCTCGGCGCCTCTCCCCCTCGGCGGCGCCATGGCGGCGCCTCCCGCCGCTGCCGGGCGCCGTCGCCACCCGCCGCGGTCGGCGGCTGCGCGTCGCGCGCGGTATGCGAGGGCCGACGCCCGCGCGGCCCGAGCACCTCGTGCACGCCTTGGCGGCCCTCGCTGGCCATCGCGGCCGGCAGCCATCTCAGCTGGCCCAGGCCCTGGCCAGGGCGTTGCCTGAGACGCTGCCACCCCCTTCGTTTGGCTCGGCGGCGAGAGCAGGGGGGGGACCTAGAAGGAGAAGGCCTTCTCGGAGGGCGGCGGGACTTCTCAGAAGCCCTCGCGCCTTTTCGAAGTCTTCTGCGTGTTTCGGGAAAGGCGCAAAAAACTTCTCAGAAGGCCAGGGGACTTCCGAGCCTTCTGAAAAGGCCTCCTCCTCCTTCTCACCTCTCCCCCTCGCTCGCCGCCGATGAGCGCAGGGGTCGACGCGATGACTTCACCCGCTCCAGTTGCTGACGCTGGCGGCGCGCAAAGGGGGGCAGGGGGAGGGGCGAGGCTTCGTAAAAGCATCCTGCTTCTTGGAAGGCCCTGGCCTGACGTCTATAGAGACGGCTGGCGCCGTATAAGAAGCAGGGGTGCATCTAAGAAGCCTTCCCCCCTCGCCCTGCCCCCCTCTGCACGTGGCCGATGGCGCGCCAGGGCCTGCTGGGTAGTGCGCGGCGGCTGCAAGGTCCTCGGCATCGCCAGCGGCTGCCACGCCAGCGGCCAGCGCGCCCGCCACCTTCGGGCCCACCCGCTCCTGCCGCGCCTCGTGGGCGCAGCTGGAGTCGCTTCGTCCCCGCCCTCGTGGTCGCGGACGTTGCCGCCCTCGTGCTCGTCCTCGACTGCGCGGGCTCCTTCGGCTGCGCCCGGTGCGGGGCGCCGAGGACCACCCCCGGACTGGCGCGAGGCTCGCCCTGCCGCTCACAGCGCCCCCCCCCCCCCCTCGGGAGGCGGCTGCCGGCCGCAGGCACGCCCGGGCCGTCCTCGCCGCCGACAACCCCCCCTCCCCCCCAGGAGCCTGCGGCTGGCGCGCCTGGGCTGCCCGCACCTCCGCCCTCGGAGCCGCCATGCCGCGAGCGCTCAAGTTTTCCGCCGCCGCGCCACGAAACGCGCAACCCCGCGAGCGCTCGTGCGAACGTGAGCGAACGTGAGCGCTCTGTCGTAAGATCGGCTGTGGTGAGGTCGGGCCACGGACTGGGGAGAACGGCCACCTCCCAGTCAGCACAGAGGATTTCTCAAGATCGGATTTGCATTCGTACTTTGTGTTTTCCCCTAGCAGCCCATATTGTGCGAGGTTCGGCTTCTCTTGGAAGTCGGGTCGAGTGGTTCCGTTCTTCACCATCCCACTCAGTCCTGCTTTGCCCTGCCCTGTACGATGCCGCTCAACCCAGTGCGCAACTCTTACTTCCTTGTGCATCTGCGCTCGTGGGTGAGACCAGAACCCCCACCCGTTTCTCTTCTCGCGGCGCTTCGCACCCGATCTGTAAGAGTCCTCGACACGCCGCTCCCTGTTTGTCTAATGCAATGCAAGAGAGTCACTGATCACTTCGAAGAGTGCCGAGCTGCAGAAGGCGACCCGCCCTATTCAGTCAGCCATGCTGGGGTCTGTCCACGGGCACATTACAAGCTACTTCACAGTCCGACCTGCTACCGCAAGACGATTTGCGCAGCGCTCCGCCGCGCGTGTGATTCTACGGTGCGTAGTCTGAGCGTATTCTCAGCACGCTAACTAGCAGCACGTGCTGCATCTACCTAGGCTTCGTTGTCGTGCCCGGCACAGAGTGGCGCTCAAGCGATCTACCGTTTTCGTTGGTCTGGCCAAGTTCCATTGCTACACTCGCAATCCTTCTCAGCCACCGCCCCGTTCATTCGGTGAGTTCCGATAGCTGTCGTCCCTCACTCAGTATCACAGCTATCACTCGCCAGTACCGCTCGGTTTTGGACTGGCCAGGTCCTTGCATCGCTCGGGAATCATGTTGCGTGAGCCTGCGTTGATCGCAGGCTGAGCTTCCTAGTCTTCGGTCGCCCCCATTCGCTCTCCAATTCTGCCGCCCGGCTTCTGATTCCGCTGCCCATCCCAGGCCCTGTCCAAATCAAAGGTACTCCAGGCTAGGATGCTCGCGGAGCAGTCCGTGAGAGCAGGACGCAGTCCACTTGATGTCCAGCTTTCCGAAGTTCCCCGTTCAGCCTGACAGGTACTTGCTGTGCGTATAGGGATACGACCGAAGAGTCGATCCTATACGAATGTCCTTAGGTAGAGGTAAGTGAGGAAGAGGTTAGCTACTCCGTTTCCAGGGCGCTGCGCGGAGAGCAGCGCGGTATGTGTACCAATACCTGAGCCGATACGTTAGCAGTATAGGACGATATAATGTTGATATGAGCGGACTTCACACACACGCTTGCTCCGATCAGGGGTCATGTTGTGTGCGCCTGTGTCGATCGCAGGCAAGGCTCCCTCTTGTCGTGGGTCGCCCCCCTTCGTTTCGCCGCTGCTGCCGCTGGGCCTCCGTCTTGCTGCCCTTCCTGGGCGTTCCCCATTCGGAAGTCTTCGGGGCCACGTCGCCCGCGCCGCAGCTCGCGAGAGCAGGATCGGCTGCGTACAGGTCTACTCGAGCTTGCACTGGTGCTCGGTCAGACTTCACCCGCTCCTGCCTTCTCTGGTCTCCCCACGGGCCCCCTACTTAAGCTTGCACTGGTGCTCTGTCAGACTTCACCTATTCCTGCCTTCTCTGGTCTCCCCACGGGCCCCCGTTCCCCCCCCCTGCCGGTGCGTGTCTCACACATTCTGCTTGGCAGGCTCTGCTCTGCGCTGTGGCAGTTCAGGTAGGCGTCCTCGCTGTAGTCGCAGATGACCATTTGCGACTCAAGCAGGCCTTATCTTCGCGGGCCGCCCCCGGTCGCACCCCTTTTGTGCTAACTGCTGGGCCTCCACCAGCCAGAGGTCCAGACCCTGGTCGCTCGAGTCTCTATGCTCGCGCTCGGGCTCTCT